CATACACAAAAAAGAAGGAACCAATTAGACGACGATGCAATGGAACCATCAGATTAAAACTCAACAAAAATAAATATGATTTTATATCCCAAATGTTAAAATTTTCATTTTTGCATGGTTCTAGTATCATTTATACTTGAATGATGCAATTATTATAATGCGCATTGCATAATCATCGTGAATATTCTAATAGACACGATACAATAGTGGAAACAATGGTGCTCATATTCAAAAAAGATAAGTAATATAATAATATAGAGGATGGGGAGCCTTTTTCGTGGAAAAGGTTATGACTTTTCCAAATATTTTAAATTTAATTCTTTGACTTGTTTTTTAGGGGTATAAATATAGCACCACCAAACTCTTTATAAACGGGTTCACATACGGTGGATGAAACCATTTCTAGAAGTCACTCCTTTTGACGATAAAAACGTTTCTAAGGGATCAATTTGCTAACCTACGAACCAGCAAAGTGAGTGCCTGAAAATGAGCAATAGAGATTAAAAGGGATCGAAATTTCCTTTTAACATTAAGCGAGCATCATGTTTGTCATGTTAATTCACATATCCAATTGTCAATATTGTCGAGGTGATAAGAAGTTTTTAATTTTTAATTCTTTTTAAGTTTTCAAATTAAAGAACAGAGGAATTAAAATTAATTGATTTTAACATTAGGTGATCATCTTATTAATTTACGTTATTTCACATATCCAATGATTAATGTTGTCAAGATCATGGACGGTTATTAACTAGATTGTGTTTTTTAAAATTAAAAATCAAAAGAATTAAATTAATTGAAACACCATTTTAATATAAAATATATTACTATTCAATAAATGAATTAATATACATGTAAAAATATAATAATATAATAATAATAATAAATTCACCATCGCCTTGATGCTGTTGTGCGTTAAATCGAAATTGAATTTCAACTTCAATTTTTTCGCGTACAATACCAAATGAAATAATTCATCCATCACTTGAACTTTTTAAAAAGAAATCCACCATTTACCTGATGTCTAATGAACTTTTAAAAGAACGATACCGAAAAACTCATCTACAGTAATATGTATGTGTGCATGCGTGTATTCATACTTTCGATATTGCTTCTCGTGTTTTATATTTTTTTGGAAAGATTTCTTTTTAAAAAGATGCAAATGAAAATCATTACTTTCTAGAGAAATGTCCCAAAAAATCCGCTATTACTATGCTTGCTATACAAACCAGTGCACAAAATTCTTTGTGGTGAAGATCGGTAGATTTCCGATAGCTTTGAGAAATTCCGGCAAATTAGAGTACCTTTTGTGCACTGGTCAAGCTAAAACGTGTTCTTAGCAAGAGTTGTTTTCATACAGAGTCGCCTCTATTAAAGATCAAATATTATAATGTCACTCACTACACGCTTGTCACCAAGTATATCTTTAATTGATTTCAATAATTCTTCATATTGTTTAACTTCATTTTCAATCCTTCTTTTGTGATATAATTAAGGTTTTATCATCATATTCTTGAAGTTGTGAGACGGTATATTCATTAATTGGGTCAGTCATAAGCAACACTTTATATCCCCTCTTCTTAAGAATTTCAACAAATAGTGATTTCACCAGCAATATAATATATTGCATTTTGCTTTTCAAGCATTCTTGCAACGTAATATTTTAATGATGTCAATTCTTCACAGATTCTGTTGAATAATAACAAATGCCAGGTTTAAGGTTTTTAACAATGCTCCTTACAAGCTAAGATATCCGGCAATAAATCTTCACAGTCATCCATAATGAATGCACGTATTACATAAATTTTAATGTTGATATGCTTCTTTTTAGTTTCAAACAAATCAAAAGGTACACGTCTTGATACAAAAATAATTGCATGAAATTCAAGCTGTCCTTCAGCTGAGAAATGTTTAACAGCCAAATGATCTTCCCGATCGTTACTGAGTGATTTGTAGAAAGAAGCATGTTCTTCATTTTAAATATCATCAAGACTACGAATCCAATTGGTTTAATTTTGTTAAGCTCTTCAATCAACTCTTTGATTTTCTTGGATGACTTTACTCTCTCTTTTTTTCTATCGTTTTAACTTCTTCAATCCTTGTCTTTTTTTCTTCATATTCGTCTTCCAATTCCACTTCCGCTTTCTCTTTTTTCTCTTCGGGTTGTGCACAACAAGTTAACCGATAAATTCAGAATGTTTTTTAACAATTCTTTTATTTTTTTTTTCCCCCTCAAGATATTCGAGTTGATCTTCCTTAAGGAAGATACTGATTTCAGAACCATGTTCAAGAGGTTGGTTGATTGTATCGAGTGCAATGGTGAATGAACCAGTAGCAGCAAACTCCCAAATATGTTGTTCATCATTATTGTGCTTTGTGATTACTTGAACTCGGTCAGCAACCAAATGAAAAGAATAAAAACTCACATCAAATTGACCAATCATAAATATATCAGCTCCAGATTGAAGATCCTCCATGGACGATTTAGGGCTTAATCGATCAATTATACCAAAGTTATTTACAAGGTTAGTGATAATGGTATTTGAAATTAATGGAAAATAAAAACCTTCACAATATAATTTGATTGATATAGAAAACAAAAAATAAAAAAGCGGCTTGAATATTATTAAAGTGTTGAAATTAGCAAGTTTTCTTTTGGTTTTTAAAAGTAACATCGTACATTAGTAGTTTTCTGCAAATAGTTTCTAAAATTGTAGAAATCTGTAGTTACACACTGAAATTCATACACTGTATGTAAAAATTTTGAGACTATTCATGATTGTACAAAAGGTAATCAGAGAAATAAATTTTTTTTAGTAGTACATGTACCAAGAATAATCACAAGTGTGGAATTAGTCGAACCCAGAGCCTGTCACAAAAAGTGATGACTATTCCTGTACTTTGACCTTGCTAAATTCACACTAATGCTAGTGTTACTGCTAATCGCAAAACTCTGAATTTAAATATTAAAGATTATACAATCCTTTTACTTGGTCAAAAAAGTAACCTCATTTATATATAGTGTTTGTATTGATATTTTCTTAAAAAATTCATTCCTTTTGTTCATTAATTAAATTAACAATGAATGGAAAATAAATTAAAATATAAAATAGAAAAACATAACATCACCTAATAATATCGTGGCCATACATAATTAAATGCTTTCATTTTATAATGCATTACTAAAAAGTTGATGTGGTAGATGCATCTGCATGAACTTCTTTAATGTTCGGTTATATATATTTACCAACATATGTTTTTACATCATAAAAAACTTTTGTATTTAATAATCCTTTATTTTCATTAAATTCATTTTAATAAAAAATAAAAAAACAGCCAATCATATAAATTAAATCAGAAAATATAAAAGTAAATTGACATTGTATTTATTATTTCTATTTTTTTTCAATTATTTGAAAAACTTCTAATTCATCAAATTTACTACCATCTACTATATTAATGTCACCATAAGTCTCCGGTCTACTATTGATACTACCATTTGGTCTAAATTGAACATGGCCCGGATAACCAAAATCAGGTAAATAATTACAGTAAACTGCATGTTCACTATTAATAACATAACTAAATTGAGCAGTATTAACATCATTTCTATTACTTATATTAAATATAAAACTTTCAGTTGTTTTTTTAAATCCCTCTCTATTCCAATCAAGTGGATTATAACCACCAACTATCTGCTCTGAGTTTTGTATTCTGCCAACCACAAGGGTTTTGTTGATATTATCACATTTTTGATGGAATGTATCAGCATCTAGCCCATCTCTACTACTTCGATATAGAAGTTTGAATTCATATTTGACTTTCTTAAATGAGATATATGGTGGACTTTTTCTATCAATCCAACTTGCAAAAAGCAAAGTAAGTTTTTTATTGATTGTCAATGATTCAAGTGTTGGATTCAATTTTAAAATTCTTGATGGCAATAAATTTATAGTATGCTGTCTATCAGGAAATATATGATATTGTGAAAGAGGTTTCCATAAAGTTCTAGGAAAAAGCATTTGATATGGTTCAATTTTATCAAAAAAATCATCTTTAGAAATATCCTGAAATCTTATTAGAGGAAGGAATTCTTTTAAAGTATTGCCCAAATCAACAAAACTTTGAGATGGCCAGTCTTCAACATTGATATTATTATTAATTTTTGGATGTTTTGCTAATCCCCATTTAAGAATGTTTTCCCAGATAATCATCTCATCAACAAAAAAATCTTCTCTTTTGAGAATTTCCAATAGAATTGGTTCTTCTAATGATTCAAACTCATTTGACTCAAATAATTTTACACTATAATCACAAAATTTTTCCAAATAAATATTTTTCAATTCCTTAAAATTTTCATTGGCATAAATCAATTGTAGAATTTTAACTGGATTTTCTTTTATATAATCTTCATAATTTTCAACAAAGTATTTCATCATATATTCATAAAGTGCTTCAATCCCAAGTTGGCCTGCTGCAATTAATAGTTCTAACATTTCAGCTCCAGAATAATTTTCAATTTCAAATTTACATGTATACAAAAATCTTACAAATAAATAAATTATTATCATTATTATATATTCAATAATAACAAAATAAACAAAACAAAATAAATAAATAATAATAACTTTATTTAAACTTACTTGAGAATAGTACTGAAACATTTTTCACTAATATTAACTTTGTTAATGATATAATAACCATTTTCTTTTGTTGAATCACTTAATGCATTGTTAAAAAATGAACAATGAGCAGATATGATAGATGCATGTGCATGAACTTCTTTAATGTTTGGCTCTACACCAACATATATTTTTACATCATAAAAATCTTCTGTATTCAATAATCTTTCGTTTTCATTAAAATATTTTTCAAATATTGAATTCATTTTTTTTTTTAAAAAAAAAGTAATAATGAAAAAATGAAAATGAATGGCAAATCATGTGTTACCTCTAAATAATGTCCCCAATATCAACAATTAGTATTAGGTTTGGCTTTAGTCCTAAATTTGGGACCAGCCTCTAATGATGTATATGACAAAATTTTTGATAAGTATTGAGACCATTATATTTGACAAAATTAGTAAATTAAAAAAATAATAATACATAATAATATTGCAAAATTTCTTTGTTTAATTAATATACACTATAATAATTTCTTTTTATTAAGAAATATATCCCCAAATTTTGATAATCAAGCATAACTTTAAAATCAGCTTGGGATTATGGGTAGAAAAATACAATGTTTAAATAATAATAATGATAATAATTTTTTTATTTATATTAATATCAAATAATAATATACAATTCACTCTATCTATAATGAACTTTTCATCCCATATGTAATTTTTCTGCTATAGAGAATGTTTACCAAGACATTTGTTATAGAGGAGAGAAATTAATATCAATTATAAAAAAATCAAATTGGGGACAAAAGGGAGATGCATTATAAAAGTGATTTTACTTAGTCTTCATTATAGAGGTGTTTATTGTAGAGAAAGCAAACTGTACAAAGAAATAATTTAATAATAATGATCATGTAACAATTCTTTCCAATCCATTTACCATTGATCCATTTTTTTTTAATTATTGCAATGTTCTATACTGTACATATTTTTTGATAGTGGTGTATTGATAGTAATGTTAATAGCAGTAATTATAAACAGAATATTTTGGTGTATTAATCATATCCCAATTAATTTGCTTTAGGTAATTAATGATTTAATAAAATTTAAATATTGATTCTAATTATATTATTCAAAAATCTTACAGTATGCCTGCTCATTGTAAATCAACTGTTATATTTGTTATCTTTCAATAGAGTTAATAACACTAAAGCAAATATATTATAATTATAACAATAAATTTATAATTTATTAAATTACAATGCTTCAAAGACTTCAATAGGTATATAGTAAATCAATTTAGTTGTATCTCACTTTTACTCTTCATTCTCTTTCACCTACTGAAACAAGATTTATGGTTAAAGTGGAATGTTTTGTCATTTAAATTTCCACAATTAAAAAACAATTCAGGATTCTGTCTATTAGTTAATTTTCTTGTTATTAAACTTGCATAATATTAATATTAATGTATGTCAATTCTTTCCAAATTGCAAATTAATGTAGGGTTAATAACTGATGCTTTTTTAAGGGTTTTTTCTGCTTCTGTCAATATTCAAATTCTATTCTGTTATCACATTTTCCAAAAATTTGCTATTGAATTATTTAACAGCCTTCTTTTTAATCAGTGTCAAAGTTTGTCATGTTAATATATTTATTTTTTTACCAACAATTGCAATCAACCAGTAAAGAATTTATCTTGATTCAAGCAAACAATAGACATTACATTTTTATTTAATATAATACATGTAAATTTATTATTGGTAAATGATAATAAAAAAATAATTGACCTAGTATTTTGTTTAACTTATTTTATAAGAATTACTTGAAAAACTTCTAATTCATCAAAGTTGTCATCAACTATATTGATGTTATTATAAGCCTTTGTTGCACTCCCAACACCAAATTTACCATTTACATCAAAATAAACATCACTGTCAGAGCCAAACTTAGGTAAATGATAAGGAGAACAATAAATTGCCTTCACATTCTCAATAACATAACTAAATTGAGCAGTATTGACATCATTTCTGTTACTTATATTAAATATAAAACTTTCAGTTGTATTTTTACATCCATGTCCATTCCAATCAAGTGGATTATAGCCACCAATTATTTTTTCTGAATTTTGCACTTTGCCAACTACAAGTGTTTTGTTGATATTATCACATTTTTGATGGAATGTATCAGTATTTAAACCATCTCTGCTACTACGATATAGAAGTTTGAATTTATATTTGACTTCTCTGAATGAACTATATGGTGGGCTTTTTCTATCAATCCAACTTGCAAAAAGCAAAATGAGTTTTTGATTGATTGTCAATGATTCAAGTGTTGAATTCAA